TGTCTTTTTTTCTTAAAAAAAAGTCACAATCACTTATTTTAAGTGATTGCAAATAGAGCCTAAATGTAATTATCTCTTTTTATGATATAATAATTATTTCTTGTTTGTATCTTATTTTAAGCACTTTAATCCTATTTTTAATGATTTTAAAAAAACTCTTAACTATCATTACTACTACTACTATTTGTATCTTACCCTCCCGATCCTGCTGTACATCTCCAACAATACCCTGATAATCCCTCCAATCCCAGGATGCTGGCAAAGCCTAATGAAAAAAGAGCAAATATCATATTTAATGAGCGTTTAGAAGTTCAATTCGATAAAATAAAACAGAAACAATGCGTCTTCCGATAATAGCTTACCTCGTCGTCCTGAATCTGGATGGGGCACTTTAGTTTTTTTGGTCTTCTCTTGCTCCTAGAAAATTGAAGGAGTTATTCGTAGAACCACAAGGAAGATTGGAAGAACAAGCTATAATGTATACTTTGATATATGTGGTGGTGGGGAGAAAGCATCGCACGAGATTATAATACAGTTTATTAAACTGTTTTCTCCTAAATGGAATTTGGGTTAGTGAATCACACTCTACTACATACGTCATCTGCCTTTGCATTTGAAAAAATCAAATAATGCAATTTGATGCAATTTGAATTTCACATTACATCTGCTTAATGCAATTTGATCTCACCCATTTGGAGATGGATGAGATTGGTAAGTTCTTTGAAAAATTAGCAACTATGTAAATAATTGTTCATTTTTATATCAATTTGATTCTAAAATATGTAAAATTAATACAAGAACAATTAGCTGTTAATCGTTACAAAGTTCTGATTTTTTATACTCCGTATTAGGGTCTACATCTAGCATGATTTAATGACAATACACATATATATATGCATACATATACATTATGTGTGTTTGTTTTTTTGAAAGGAAAAAAAACACACACATTATGTGTGTTTATAATAACAGATTTTTAAGTTTCCCTCATACTTTTTTGCAGAAATTGGGAATCCAATTTAGCAATCAATAATAATTGAATTGTTAAGAACTAAATTACCCATAAGTAGGACTCGAATTGAGTGATAATAGTTTGATTCAAGTTGGTTATTGGATTTTGTGTTTTAAAATTCCGCCCTACGTCTAGCTCTCATAAATTCATTTTAAAAACAATTGAACATGATTTTTTAGTGTTGGTCCTAACACTCCAAACACGTACGCAGTATTTGACAAGACGAAAGGGTTAAAGAAAAGTGCTACTGCTATATCTTAGCCTTATTTGGCGTGTGTCTACTAAGAGCTTTCATTGTTTACGTGGGCGGATCTATGTTGGGGAAGGGGTGGGCTCCAGCCCAGCCCAGCCCAATTTATTTTTATTATTATAAGTTTTGTTCTAAAAATCGTTCTAGGCGCCCGACTAGTCCCCGCCTAGGCACTAGACGGTGGTCGGGCGCCCCGATTTTCGTCTAGGCGCTCCGACTAATTGGTTTGCCGTCTAGGTGAATTAGTCACCTGCCTATGGCGCCTAGTTGCCCGCCTAGAGCGCCTAATCGGCCGCCTAGGGCGTCTAATTTGTCAAAATTACTTCACTTTTTAATTTTAATTTTCTAGGCGATATACATGCTTTAACTTTAGCCATGGATATAAAGAATGTAGTTGTAAATAAAGATAGAACCATATATGTTTGTATATATACCTAAATTTTATCATTATTTATATTTATAACATAATGAAGTTAAATGATTAGTTATCATATACTACGTATGATTAAATGTGAAAATTATATCATTCATGTTTGTTGATGTATATGTATATATGTATTTTACACACACAAAAACACAATATTACTTATCATATTTATGCAAAAATATAGATAAAAATGCAATTTCTATGTCTCCGACTAGTCCCCGCCTAGGCGCCCGCCTAGCCGCCTAGGCGCTAGGCGCTGGGTTGACGCCCGACTGATCATAGGTATAGGTTTACTTTTAGAACATTGATTATAGGTATAGGTTTAATTTCCAGCCCACCTCAAAATTAATGTCTAGCCCAGTCCAAGCCTACCAACTTTGTAATTCTATTTGATTATTAATTGAATATTTTCAGTAGATAGTAAAATAGTTTTTATTTATTATAAATTTATAATGATTAAAGATAGAATTAAAGATTAGAAAATGATTTATTTATTATGCAATTAAAGAATAGAGAACAATGTACTTACTGTTTAGGCATGTAAGAATGGATTCAAAATTTCAATTCAATTTTAAAATTGGGAATACTTATTAGTTTTATGTACATCGACGATTTTTACTTATTAGTTTTATACTTTATAGAAGTATTTTAATTCATATCAATAAATACTAAAATCTTTAATAATCAATAATAAAATTATAAATCACACTAAAAACGTTAAAATTTTAGATATACTACCTCCATCTCATTTTATTTGGCCATCTTTGACTCTTTAGTCAAAGATGGTAACTTTGATCCATCATTTTAACTCATGTATTAATGTGAAACTTACTAAATTTATACTTTTATGATAAACTTTTTAACAAAGAACATTTCCATTTCATTTTAATATTATCAATTTTATTGTATTAAATATATAGTCATTCAGAGTTTAACTTCTTTGACTTGAAAAGCCAAATTAGTCTTAATAAAAGTGGGCGGAGGTAGTATATAGTTTATTTCTATAATTTATAAGCTATCAATATGCTCGAGTCAAGATCGAACTGAACATGACTATGCTCGAATTCAGCTTGAATAAAACTATTCAAACTCAAAAAAATAGCGGCCGCTTTTTTTTGTAAAAACAAACTATTTAAACTAAAATTTAGCCCGTGTTCGAGATTGAAGCTCGTTAAGATTTGGTCATTAAATTAAATTCGAAATCACGATCGAACTCGAGTACGAAAAAAACTCAGTTCAATAACTATCAGTCCTAAGCTAAACCTTTTGTATGCAGTAACGAAAATTTTTATTGCTTAGCCCACCCCACCCCTCATTCCTGGGTCCGTTCCTGATTGTTTAGTTATATAATACTCCCTCCGTATCTTTAAAATCTTCCCATTTCAAAAGTAGGTAGATTAAGAATAGTGAAAGATGATATGAATTATTGAGGGTATGATGGGAAAATAGTGAAATAATGTGGTGGAATGTAGGATAAATCCAAAAAAAGTAGTTGTAATAGTGTATTATTTTAAGAATTATTGAGGGTATGATGGGAAGATTTAGAAATGGGAAGATTTTTGTGTTACGGACGAAAAAGGAAAGTGGCATGGGAAGATTTTTAAGTTATGGAGGGAGTAATAGAGTACCTTGTATCTTTCATCACGTTGAAGTACTGGTGGATCACTGGAGCTCTCTTCCCTCTTCCAAAATGAGTAAATAATTAAAAACAATCAAATACCAAGTACTTAACACTCACTGACTCACATTATCACATACACAACATCTAATTTACCTGAGTCTTCTTTAATTTCTACAGTAGTCATCTTTTCTAGCTCCTCCTATTCCTGCTTCTCCATCCATTGCCTATAGAGATGCCAAGATATCTTTAAGTTATATATGATTGCAATGTTTACAAATGGGATTTTGAAGGGGTGGGGTAAGAGGATTTTATGAACCGAGACCGGCGGCAGCGCCGGAGGCGGCAGACCGCAAACTGCAAACCGCAAATCGACCGGAGGCCGGCGGCTTTGGCCGCACCGGATGCCAGAGCATAGAAATGCAAACTATCAGCTACCAACTTTTGTACCCCTATAAACTGAAAACAACAAAAGTCTAGCCGTCTAGGGGGTCAGATCTGTCCAATCCATTGCCTATAGAGATGCCGGAACTACCCGTAAGATCTCGGGTTGCGAAAATTAGGCACCGGAACAAGACGCATGTTATTCAATCAGAGTCGGGTTTTTGATAGCTAAGTTCAGTGCAGGTTCAATTAGGGCCGGTTAAAGCCCGACAAGAAATTATCAACTTGTCCTTTTATATTTTAAATCTTCTTTGAATAAAATCGCTCAAAAAATCAAATTATAAATAATAAGACAAATATTTATCTCCAAAATCACCAACAACTAAAATCGAAACAAAATAATGTATCTTAATTTTGCGTTTAAGATACATATAAATAAATAATTGAGGCTTTTTGAAAAATATTATCATATAAATTGTTGGATAAAATGTGAATAAAGTTACTAAAAGTAAATTTTCATTGTCACTACGGTTACAAAGCAAGAGCTGATTCTTTGTTTTAGGCCGTGTTTAGAATTGATTCTTCTTCTACTTCTTTTTAAAGCAAGAGCAGAATCGGAATCGGTTTTCAGAAGCCGATCTCCCCTAGTTTTTAACAAATCTGCTTCTAAAAGTAAATTAGAGCACCAAAAATATTTCTGCACTTTCACCCAAATAATTTTAAGAATCAGATGCAAACACCCTTGCTTATTGGACCCAAACTAACTTTTCTTATTGGACCCTTGCTTAGGGTTTAATGCACCAAACCCCTTCATGAAATATAAATTTGACGCATTAGCCCATGTGATTTAAAAAATGCGTCAAACTCCTGCGTTATAATTAATTATGCATCAAACCCCCTCCTCCAAGAACAAATTTAATTTCCAAAAAAATGAAAATGTTTAATTTTCTTGTATGATTTAGAAATTTTGACAAAGATACTTGCAAAATTTCAACTGTATAATTAAAAAAATGATTTCAAAATTGTAAAATTTGTTCTTGCAAAGAGTTTGATATATGATTAATTATAACACAGGGAGTTTGATGCATTTTTTAAATCACATAAAACCCCATTTTAATTTGAAGAGCGGTTGGTAATATGGACTTACGACGGAGGATATGTATATATATACGTACTCCGTATAAGATAAGATGCTATACGCGTACGTACCGGTCATTCCCACGTCTCTCACCAACTCCCTCTTTCTCTTCATCGATTTGTCTGCTCTGAAGCTGAAATTCGATAATGGTGTCTTCCGAGATCGGAGATTGCTGTTCGCCCGCAGAGGAGAGGCCGAAGATGCTAAAGCGGGAAAAATCACATAAAAAAAGATTGAAGGCACACAGGTAGGGTTCTCTTTTGAAATAGAAGGAATACATGCTGGTTTTAACGATACATGTCCTTTTCTCATTTATCGGTCTCTGATTAATTATTTGGCCTCTGATTACTCGAATATGAATTGCTTTAATTGTATTTTCCTTTTAATGGAGGGAATGGTGTATTTTTCTTCTACAAGTCATTTGTCGGAACCCTATTTGTGCTTATTACGGAATAATATCTTTTCCTCAGTTACTTTTGTTAGTATGTAATTTGAATGATCTTTGTTGCTGTCTCTGATTACGTTTTTACTTGGTAAAAATCTCAACCTGGCTTCAGTGGTCATCATGGGCGAGATATTGAAAGATGGGCGAGATTTATGAAACCTGCTGTTAATCTAAAATTCACTGATACTGTGCGGTGTGATGAAAAGCGCAGCCTGAGAGCAGCACGGATTGCCTTATCATATTTCAATAAGCAGGTTAGGTAGTCATAACTAAATTGATATTTTTTCCACCTATCCACAATCCACTTGTGTTGCTATTTTTTCTGCATGTCCTGAGCTATGGTGTATGAATATGAGGAATTGGTGTCAATGTATCAACAGGTTCCTCATGTGAAGTATGAGCTTGTTCGAGCTCTTGGCTGTATTGATACGATGTCTCCAAGTACTTTCCTTCCTGCATGCATGCATTGCAACTTCATTGCTAGGCCGAAAAATAAAAGTAAGGGAGCCCCGGTGGCAGAGGAGAATAATAAGCTCTTTTTCGGGGAAGTTGAATGTTCAGGTAGGAGCTCACGCTGCAGTTTTTGCTGCATCTTGGGGCAAACGGGTACTGGTATGTGGATGATGACTGTTCTGTCTTACTTCTATTTAGCACATTACTCACCTCTCTCTGTTATATACTGTGGTTATATCCACCTCCTCCCTTCTAGAAGGACATTTGACATTATTTGTTTGGTTTATGCTGATTTTTATTTTGCAATTTCTTTTTCAAGTGTTCATTCTGGCTAAAAAAATGTTTGATACAGAACTTTTTACTATTTTTTGTTACATAAATGGTTAGTCCAAGCCCCAAGGTAGTCAAATTTGCAAGGCACACTTAAGGCGCTAGAGTACTTCTATCGCTTGAGGCGTAAGGCACAAAAAAGCACTTGCATGACTCATGTCAAAGCACTAACAAACGGCTCACGCTCTCACTGTTTCAAACCACTACCTTCTATCACAATTCACTGATGGTGAACTTCTACTAAATAACTGTATCCTAGTGTCTTGCTGTATCCTAGTGTCTAAGGTAGCAAAAGTTCAACAATGGGATACAGTTATTTTGTAGGAGTTCACCATCAGTGAATTGTGTTAGAATTATAGTATCAGATTTCTGTAATTAGAGAACCTTTTGAGGGAGATTCAGATTATGGAGATAACTAAATCAGGAATTCAAAGTAAAATCATGAAATTAACTATATTATGCTTCTTGGTCTAGTGGAGATGCAATGGCAATGGAAATGTTAAGATGAGCAACGACAATGGAAGTATTAAAAGGCATCAATGGTGTCGGAAGAAATAGGGAAAGAGAAGAGATAACGTTTTCTTGTCAGCAGTTTGTCAGCCAAAAAATTAGAGAGCAGGGGGCAAAATGGGAAGGAGAGATGTGTCTGATTTTCTTAATATCTGTGCCCATTTCCATGTTTCAACCTTTACTGCTAGTAATTTTCTGGTTTGGTGTTTCTTATCTTTTTCATGCTCATTCATTTACATATGTAAAAATAGCTAGATGATATAACTTGAATAGCTACATTTCGTTCAGTCATTGTGGATTTTAAGGTCTTTTGTCTCTCGTAGTTTGATTTGTGGTGGTTCATTGATATTATTTTTGGTCTTGATGCTCTTTCGGGTTCCTTCTTGCAGTTCTTAATTTTTAACTATGAACACTATCTGGCTATCTGCAATTAACGATCTCAATATTCATTTTGATCATTCCATTTGCGTGGTTTTTTACAAGTAATTATTAGTACTGCGTAATATATTTAGATACTTCATAAGCTGCTTATTTGTTTGATGTTGTTTTAACAAGTTCTTTCTGTCACCCTAACCCCCCAAAATCTTATTATCTTGCAGTGACTGGGAATTGTGGCTGTCGTTTGTTTTGTCGTGACTATCCTGAACTCATCCAACATCCTAAAGGCGGTGGATTCAGAATGACTTACAAAAGAGATTAGGGTATCTCTGATGTTGTATCTTAATCCCAAAAAAGATTAGGGTCGGTTAACTTGAATAGACGATTTTGTTTCTTTGCATTGTATATAATAATTAATTAATACTGTCCTAATGCATTCATCGTATACGCAATTTCCTATGCATGTCTATTTTTTGCTCCAAATTTGAACTCTACAAATGACTACAATAACCATCTCTTTCATATATGCAATTTCCTATACATGTCATTACGGTGAATGTTTTTTCTAGAATTATGCAAGCTGCTGATCAATAGTCATTTTTTATTATAAAATACTGAGACCTAACATTTACCAGACCAGACATAAATAGATCAAATCAAACTTAAAAATACCAGCAAATTTTAGTTCAAGTTAAAACATCCTTAGAGGTTGGTTTGCAACTGCTTAAAAAAAGCACTTTTCAGTTTTTGGCTTAAAAAACACTTATTTTACCAAACACTACCAATTTTTATTTTTTTCGGTTTTTATGTCATAAGTGCTTTTACTTTTTCCATTATACAAAAAACACTTATTTTATCAAACACTATTATTAAAAATTGGAAAATCGTCTTTAATCGTGATTTGGAACGATTTTAACGATTCAAAAGCGATTTTTTTTATTATTTTTTGTAATTCCGATTTTTTAAACAATTTGGATCGATACAGTGATTTTTGATCGTAAAATCGTACGATTTTACGATCTAAATCGCGATTTTAATAACCATGGGTGTAAGGGCCCGTTTGTTACGGTATAAACACTTTGCGTGTAAAGTGTAGGAAAGTAAACACTTTATACCGTTTGGTTGAAATATACAATGTAAACTGTAGGACATTTTTTTTAAAAATATTTTACACGGTACTATGTAAAATATTTTACTTGGGGGAGGATGGTAAACTAGATTACATCCGTTTATATCTATGTTGTAAAAACCGGACCGGAGGGTGACCCGGACAGATGACTGGGTTACGGGTCAATCCGGACCCGGCGGGTCAACCTGGTCAACAACCAGTAAACCCGGACAACTACAATACAAATAATTAATTCTAATTATATAAAGGATTAAATTCTTAAATAGAAAAATTATATTCCTTCATAATTTAATAATAATAATAATAATAATAATAATAATAATAATAATAATAATAATAATAATAATAATAATAATAATAATAATAATAATAATAATAATAATACAATATAAGCAATCTAAAAAAACTATTGTATTTAAGTAGATTGATTTAAAAAAACATTGAATTTAGATTAATAATAAATATGAACATTATACCAATTACAAAATATAAAAAAGTCGTAACAATAAATACATAACTAGGAAGTATAATAACAACATTTATGTGTATTTATTAGTACTTTTATTACAAATTAATTAATTAATAAGCCAATTATTCAAACTTTATAAAAACATTCTGGACAAATAAGCTATAAAGAGACCTAAACAACCTACTTACACAGCAACCGAGTATGGCTCGCTCGTTGGTTTCCAGTCCATCATTTAAATCTTGTGGCGCGAGATCGAATCCCATGGGCCAGCTTTTGTCATTTTCTGGGTTTGGAAAGGATCGGGTCCGTCCTGAGTTTAAACGGGTCACCGGTTAAATCCGGTTTTGACCATATTTCCGGTTGGATGCTCAACTGGACCGGACACATGGCCGGGTGACCGGGTTCCGGGTCAAACCGGCCGGTCCGGTTCGGGTCTTACAACACAGGTTTATATGAGGCTGAATAAATACAAGAGTATGGAATACCGATTTCTAACTTAGGCTTGGACCCGGTTCGGGCCACCCGGCCCGGTTCGAGCCTTTCAATTTTTTTCTTTTGTTTTTTGTTGGTTTGGGGCTTTGGGCTGGGTTTAAATGGACTGGAATGGGTCTTTCAGATGGGTTTGTGGGATGGGGGGTAGTGAATAAAAATAATCAAGCAAAAAAAAAAAAAGAACCAGACCCGACCCGGCCCGGGCCCGGACCGGCACCGGTCAATTACCGGGCCGGTCCCGGTTCTCACATAAATATTTTTGGGCCCTGCCGGACCTGGGCCCGACCCGGAACCGGGCCCGGTTCAGTCCATGACTACCTAGACTGCTACTCTGTATACGTTGAAAGCTCGATTTTATTCGTATATAAGAAATGAATCAACTTCTCATCAAATCTGCTTTACCCTCCACGTTAACCAACGGGTAGCTTCTGCAATTTGATTTATTATACTTCGTACTACGTATTATGTATACATATAATATTTGAAAATTAAATCTTTTGTATTTTACATGTTAAAATACAAAAGAAAATCTTTAATTTGAAAATTAAATCTTTTGAAAATTGAAAATTTAGTTGTACATCAATTTTACATGTGATATATAATTTTACATGTTCCTTTTTATCACATGATACGTGCATTCCTATTTCCTCAAATCACACATTAGCATTTTAAGTAGTAAAAAAATGTTGACAAACATATGAATAATAATGTCAAACTAAATATGTTGAGGTACGAAAGAAATACTCCATAATCAGGGGCGGCCCTGGATATTCGAAGGCCTAGGGGCGAACAATAAAAAAAATGGGCCTAATTTTAAAAAAAATTGTAAAACACTTTTCTACCTAAATAAAAATGCAAAATAATAATATTTAAATACCTTTAGAATAAAGAAAATACTTGAATTCGTTAAATTAAACATAGTCGAATAATGTTTTCAAAATAACCGAATAAAAAATTATTTAATGATAAATAACGCCCCGATACAATACACTTGCTAAGGCCGGTGTCATCAACTATAGCGTCATAATCAAGCTTTTCTAAGACATTATTATGCTCAATACTTAATATAGCTAATCAATTAGTTAAATTTATAAATTTAACTAATTGGACTGCGCGTTAGTTCTTCCTTTTTTTCAATTTTGGGCCTTTTGCGTTCTTGGGCTTCCTGTACTTGTACAAAATTATTAATTTTGGATTAAAACTCAGCCTACTCAAATATACTATAAAGAAATAATTATGGGCCTAAAAAATTTTCATTTTTTTTGGGCCTAGGGCACCCGCCCCACCTGCCCCCCCCAGGGCCGCCCCTGTCCATAATAGATTGTACATTTTAAAAGCTTTTGGTTATATGACATCTAATTAAGGTGCCATCAAAGTTTCTCGTTAATATTCTTTTTTGTGACCGTATGATGATTCGTGATCGACACAAAATCTCACGATAATATATGTGTTGTCTTAAAGAATGACCTCCTATGAGAAAGCTATTCAAACTCACTTCAATTCTATTGATTTGTGCGTATTACATTAGATTATTAGAACCAGCTAACCCATGTGATGTAAGATGTAAATTAAAATTCCTTTTCATTTTTCTGTCTTGTTTTAATTATACGGATCATATGTATGGAATTCTATTAAAACTAACTAAAATGCATCTATATTATCGTTATAACAATACATTATTAATACTTGGTATAATATAGATATAAAATAAAAAAAATAGTTGAGCACACAAAAGACGAAGACAAACAAAAAATATAGTGAGCAAGTACTAACGGAATTAAAATGATGAAATAATAGAATATTTTTTTGGGAGAAATTGATCATTAAATTAACTGATTAAAATATTGATAATTATATTTACTTTTAAAGGAAGTAACATATACGTAGTATTATCTTAAAAAAGACTTTCAAATATAGATTTAAAAGTAAAATCTTAAAATACTTAAAATTTGAACATAATAATTGTAAGAGCCTATAAAATTAGCATTTAAAATTACGAACGCCACAATATTCGCGGGCAAAATGATTCGATTAGGGAAATCTTCAAACCAAACAAATCAAAATATTCTGGCAATATCAATTTCATATTGGACTTACAAAAAATTTTAGCTCTAAAAAAATATGCACACAATGACACATGCATGTCCTCTCACTCTAACCCACATTTGACCGCCTCCGTCTCACGTTCTCACATCCAATATCTACTATTCTGTTCTTCTGCTTACTTTGTTTTCATAGTAGAAATCAAATGCACATCTCTACTTTCTTCTTCAAAGTTTTAATGGTGTTTAAGATAAATCTTAAATTAGTATCTGCCATCCTAATGAGGTATGGACATTCTAGTTCATCCAGGGCTATTTTGTTGTACGTATTTCGACTCCTATTAAGGAATAAGGAATATAAGTTTAATTAGTTTCTTTTTCTAAATACATGCATGTTTCTCACTAAACTTGTATTTTTTATTAATTTATTGATTTGGGTCAGAATTTCGTATTTCCAACACCTTTTTAAAAAGATACGGAGTATACGTTTACTTTAGATTGACATAACTCTTGTTTTGATATTTATATTCTTGACATTATCGTGCTTGACTTGTTAATTTTGTTAAACCTGGGTGTGTGTTAATTTTGTTAATAATAATAATAATAATAATAATAATAATAATAATAATAATAATAATAATAATAATAATAATAATAATAATAATCCTATGTAATAACTAATAAACATAAACGGCTGCTAGATTAGACGATGAATATATAAGAATATAATATGTGTTACCGACTGTATGTGAAATGGTTTAAATAACGTAATTATTGAACAGTTGTAACTGTTAGGCGGAAACACTTGTTGTCTTGGTTTCCCTTTTTATATTAGTATAGATTGTTGAACTTTTGCTACTTCAGTGAGAGCATGAGCCGTTTGTTAATATTGGAATTGGCTAAATTGACTTTCATGTAAAAAAATTTACACGTCAGGTACCTTGTTGTCTGAGTCGAACATCATCCATTCATCCCAATCAAGGATTTTGGGATTAACATGAGCAGATAATATAGTAGGTTTAAAACAATGTTCCAAAAAAATGTAATTTTTTATACACAATATATTTTATTAATAAAATATGTGACAGTAAACCATTTGTTAATATTGGAATTGGCTAAATTAGAAAATTACTATTGAAAAAAAAAAAGCTGACCTTGTCTAATGAATTTTAAAAAACGAAACGCAAACAAGAAAAAATTCGGTGGTCGGCGGATTTCTGGAGACGGTGATAGGCAGCAATTCAGTTTGGGGCAGAGGTCGGATATCTTATAAAATAAAAACTTATAATAAAAACTTATAATAGTCAATCAGAGTTAGGCATTTTAGGGATATGTACCATTAATAAAAAAATGTTGGTATAACCATCTAGCTTAATAGAAATGTACAATGTGTTTTAGCATATGTACCATCTAGCTTATTTCCGTCTCAAGTGGCTCCCATCCGTTTCATCTCCGTCTCTCAACCTCCGTTTCATCTCCGTCTCTCAACATCTACTTACATACACCGTCCGTTTTCTTGGTCTCTCATCACGTCCAGTCCTAGCTATCGCCCCAGCTGCTCGTGCCCCAACCTCACCAGCGATCATTCCCGTTTGGTCGCGCTAAACATCCCCAGCTTTGTTGTCATTCTGTCTTGAGGCTAACAACGAGTCAACGACAGAAGTGTTTGATAACCGATTAATGCTAAACGGTATGTTCCTATCTTCTTTGCTCTTCTCTTAGGAACATACGACTTAGATTGATTTGAGTGTGTTTGTTCTTGGATTTGTCAAATTATTTATGTCTACTGTTGAATTTTGCAGGTTTACCTATGTCTTTCATTTTGTTGATTTCCATGTTTAGGCTTTTGGTTCAGATTTGTTGATTGCTAGAGGTATGGAAAAGGCAATATGTGTTTGCTAAATTGTCTAACGAAATTCATCACACCAACTTTTGGGTGCTTTGATCATTGTTTATGCCACATATAGACAATGTTAGTTCTTGATTATAAAAAAATGTTAGTTCTTGTTTATCAATTTGTAGCATTCTATGTTTAGGCTTTTGACTCTTGGAGTGCATTAGGTGTTTGCTAAATTGTCCAAACGAGATTCGTCACACCAATTTATGGTTGCTTTCATCATTTCCTATGCCACATATTCTCCTCCTAGCCACATACAACGTACAATATAAGTCTCGGAATTAGAATTTAAAAACTCTTAAAGTTTATACACTGGCACATTTTAGGTGTGAGTAAGAAATAGTTATTGAGGATGTTACCATTCTAATAATTAGTTATTAGAATTCATAAAGCTATACAACTTACAAGTGCATTTAAGAGAATGTTTATATTTGTTGTTTATGGACTTAGCACTTAGCCTACATTTTTTTCGTGTTCTGTGCAATGTGCGGGAGGGGGGGGGGGATGGGGGGGATGGGAGGGGGGGGGGTCAAGGTTTTAAGATACTCAAGAAAATCAACTTATGTTGTTGATTAATTTTGTTCACATGGGATAATTTGTTTTTTCACTGTTAGGATAATTTAGTATTCTACTATTATGTTCACATGGGATAATTTATTTGTTTACGGTTGTTAATTTTTAATGTTTCCAATTCGATTAGATATAATATCCAGCTGAGAAACATCTCATTCTAGACTTTTGTAGGCTATAGTTGTTCAGTGGATGCTGAGCATGCCCTATGTATGACATTGGCCGAGGTTATTGGGGTAAACACTAGGAATTTGCTTCTTTCCCATCCAGACGTACTGTGGTGAGCACATGCACTTAGCCTTGTGGATACTCTAGCCAGGAGTGGCTCAATTGGTGATGTTGTTGTTGTTAGACCATGTAAGCTAATATATTGATAAAAAATCAATATATTAGCCTTTATTATTCCCTGCTCATGATACTCTTGAGCTCATGGCAATGCAGGGAAGGCTAATGAGTCAAGTATTACACAAAATAAGCCATTCATTATTTTTTGTCTTTATCAATCAGGTAATCTTTCTACTCTTCTATTTTAAACTTTTTTAGGTATAATGGGTTATTCCTTAACTTTATCCAAGTTTTCGGTTACAGATCACGTTAGAGTAATATGCATATGCTTTTTGTGCATCTAAATAAATATAAGGAGAGTTGGGAGTAGCCTTAAAGGGTGGAGAGGTATAAATTCTAATTAAATGAAAACGTGGGTGAGACTATAATAGAGTATGTAATTGGTAACATTTCAAACTCTTTTTAGTATTGATTCTTTTTGTTGTGATTAGGAAGTCTTTTGAAGATTCACTCAAAGCTCTGGAAGCTGATATTCAACATGCTTAGACTCTGTATGCAACTTGTCTTCTTCTCCTTTGCGTGCCTTCTAATTATATTTTTTAGCTCACTGAAATGCAATTGATTAGTTTTGCTGGAAAATAAGTTTACTACTTATAATTCATTTGAATTGATTGATACAGTTTTTGAAATTTTTTGTGTATTGTGTGTTTTTCATAAGGAAGTCAGGGAATTAAAATTTTCAAATGAGACGAAATTTCTATGGGCTATTTCATGTGTGGATAGGACTGATCGATTTAATTCCTTCCCCATATGATTTCTCTGAATTTCCTACCACCCATAACCGAATATGTGTTGTTCATTGTACTTAGGATTGACGTTTTATGATTAATAAGTTAATAACACCGATTTTTGTCGAGATTCATACAGGGCTTCAGATTACCCAAGAGCATACGTACAGGCGTGCTTGCCCTTCAAATGAGGCTCTCATACATTCCTTGTGCTCAACTGCTCATATGTTTATGTTTCTTGTTCAATGGGATGATTGAAAGCTTGCTGGTGCTTTTGGTTTGATTAGGATCCCTATATTCGAGGTAGTAAATAATAGTATTCGATAGCTTATGAATTTGGAGCTGAAGTCACCAAATGACAATAGTATGTACTTTTTGGTTACCGTTAAGGTGAGTTGTTTCCTTTTAAAAGACATTACAACCTAAGGTTGGTCCGTTGGTCTTTGTTTTATTCAGGTTTTATGTCATGCTACGTAACTCTCAAATTGTCTTTATGTTTTTTTACCTAAGTTTGGTCTTCTATTTGTAGGTTCTCACCAGTTTGCTGTTTTATTTTTTTGTATGACTTTTTGTATCTCACTGTCTTCTCTCCTCTTAGGCTATGAGCCCGTTTGGTGAGCCAGTTTTTCGGCTTATCATGCTTATCAACCAACTTTTTCATCAAACACGTAATTTTTGGTTTGGCGCGTTGAGTTGTGTAATAATAACAAAAAGTAAAGTTGAAGTTACTTTTTTGGTTGTATTGGCTGATGTTATTGTAGAGGATCATTTTAGCTATTTTTCGTAAAAAATTTTCTTTATTTTATTAATAAGATATATATTAAATATAATTTTTTTTCATAAACCAGCAGATCAGCCAATGTACCCACTTCAGTTAGAACTTCATAAATTTCAACAAAATCAGCCAAATCAGCCGATTTCGTGCTACCAAACAGGCTCTAAAACTAAATGATTTTCATTTGATTCATTCATGTCTATATTCATAGAGATTATGAAATCTGATACATTTATAAAGTTAAACAAAGCATAAGGGGAAAATATCATCAGCATAATGTTTTACATACAACATCATGTTTTATCTGCATCAAGAAGAATCAGTCACTTAGTGCCCGTTTAGAGGAGGAATAATTGGCTTATAAGCCTCAAAAGCTATAAAAATAACCAAACACCTATTGAATTGGCTGGTGTGGCTGTTTTTTATTATCAGCTGAAAAAGTGATTGAATAGCTACTTTTTTAGCTGAATTCTATTATCCTTCTACTGAACTATTAGAAGACACTTTTATCCCTACTTTATTAGCACAAAGCTTAAGTCTGGAAACCTACAACGGTGCTTCCGATCTCCCCTCATGCCCTCATGAGCGGATTCATGTGTATCAATTCTAGATAGTATACTCGATTGGAAACCTAGGTATTTGATTGAAACCTGCCTTCAACAAACATAATTCCCAATGGACCATACTACGTATTTGATATACTCATACACATTATTTAATTACACATTCAATCAGCATTTCAGTCAGAATAATTCCAAACACACTCACTTCATAAATTTCAGTCATTTCAGCCGATTCAGTAATTTCAGTTGTTGCAGCCAGTACCAAACGGACCCCTAATGGAGAACTTCAATATAAAATAGAAAGCAAACAAAGAAGAAAATGATAGAAACAGCAGGGAAATACATGGGTTTAAAACTAAATCATCGGCATTTCCCCATTTTGTTATCTAATTTTTTTGCAATATAAACATACCCCAAACATCCATTTGTGAAAGGGTGAAATTTTGGGGGAGAAAATATTGGAGAAATTGGTAATCAAATAAAATAATATAGTTGTACCTCAAAAAAATTATTTTTTATACATTAATCACAATACTAAGTGGTTTGAACCTATGTAACATCAACATAAACACATGAATCTCATTACATATTCCTTTGCATTTTGTCAATCCAAACACAAGAAAAGAACCACACTTAACATTTTATTCCTTTCGCTAGCAATTTTTAGAGCTGATATATAGAGCCCGTTTGGCTGATTCTGCTGATTTAAGAAAAAATTATCTTTAAAATATATTTTATTAATAAAATAAAGAAAGAAATATATGTAAAATAGCTAAAATGAACATCTACAGTAACTTCAGCCAATACAGACAGAAAAGTAACTCTAACCTTACTTTTTCCTGTTTATTACACAATTCAGCGCGTGAAAACAAAAGTTACGTGTTTGGTGAAAAAGTTGGCTGATAAGCCGAAAAGCAGTGTTGCCAAACGGCCTCTTAAACCCATACATTTCCTTGCTGTTTCTGTCATTTTCTTCTTTGTTTGCTTTCTATTTTATATTGAAGTTCTCCATTAAGTTATTGATTCTTCTAGTTGCAGATAAAACATGATGCTTTATGTAATCTATACACAGTTACACACAAAGGTCTCATGATGGTTCTACTAAAAAGATTCACATATCGACACAATATATTCTTTACACTAATGAGTAATGACATTGCCTTTGTATATCAATATACTTGATCTATTATAAGTTTATATTACCGAAAAACATTGGGCATTATCCAATCGCGCAAAGCGCGTTACGGAAACTAGTACATATTACAGAGAGAAGATTTGAATTCAATATACAAATATTAGTCAACCCTCTTTATAACATCTCTATTGTCACGTAATTATACGAAGTATTAATTATACGAAGTATTAAAAAAAGTTTGATCGTCTCTCGCTTCTCTCTAGGGCTTCGGTCGCTTGGAGTTTTTTTCCGTCTTCGATTTTAATCGAAGGACGGCCGCTTTTTCCGTCTTCAATTTTAATCGAAGGGCGGATTTGCTGTCATGGCTCGAGGAGATCGGCGTTGTGGTCAAAGTTCGAGGATGATGTATTGCTGTCGTCGTTGGAGAAGATCGGCGCTGCCTATCCGTTTACTCTGGTTGCATGAAGCAAGGATGAGTTTGGTTATGCAGGGACGGAGGATTGATGCATGGCCTTTGGCACTAATGCATGCATGATCAGCATGGGGAACTCCATGGGTTCAACTCCTCCGCCTCCTCTCCATTGTTCTTCTTCACCTTCTTGGCATTTCATCAAATACCTTGCTGCTGGATCTTCTTCACCCTCTGAATGGCCAACATGTACGCAAATCTTTCTTGCCTCCTCCATGGGATTAATCTTAGCAGCTGTTATTCATTTCCGTGTCAAGGAAATCCGGGACCTGAAAATCGTTCCAAGAATTAAACTCTCTGATTCCGGCCAAATTCTCAAGCTTGAAAGGTTTCCTCATTATGTAGGTAATGTTTAATATCAATCTGAATCAACATCTTAGCTGACTCCATTTTCTTATTTTACTTTTATTATATGTCTATTTAGTGCGTAGAATACATATCAAAGTCTGTTTTTTGCATCCACTTAGAGAGTTATTAACTTGTTTTAAGAAAATTGATTCTTTAATTAGCATTAAGGCAAGGATGATGTCAATTCACTGTTACAATTAATTAGCTTGTACTGTTTGTTTCTAAATAGTTGTGTGGGTTTGAAATATATGTTATGTGGAATTGTGGCAGCTAGGCAAATGGGATTTGCAGATAAGAGAGAATGTCCAACCTTGTGCAAATTAGCTTCTGAATATATAAGAAAAGCAGAAGGGTGTGAAGAGGACATATATAATTTCTTTGCAGCTGAACCGGGTGCAGATTCTCTATTCATAAAGCTTGTGGAAGAGCTTGAAAGATTAATCCTTAGTTATTTTGCATTTCATTGGAGCCAAGTTTCTAATATGATCAGCCAGGTACTAGATGTGACCCCTGGTTGTGAAAACTTGATCAAAGCTGTTAATTCATCTCACATAAGCTGAATATAAAGATACAAGTTCACATACAAGGTTTCTGACTCTTCTTCCTATGAGCTTTAATAGAGTATTCAGTGTCTATTTTGATTAAACAAGCAACTAAGCCTAAAGAAATTAAGAACATGTGTTTCAAGATTGATCTTTCACAACGAGTCACAATCTTCGTCATGTTAAGTCATCTCACACCGGCCAAATATAAAATTCAGTCCCACTTACCCAACTGGTAATCAAAACATTTTAATATGCGAGTTGGATTTTTTTTATTTTGTAGTGAAATATAATCACCCCAACACTGTGTCTTACCTTATTTCCAGGTTTTAAATGCTGCTGATCATACTGAGCCAAAGAAGAAGCTCAAGAACATTGTAATGGCAGCTACTAGGTATGTGTGTGTTTCTAAATCCATATTGTTCGATTGCTTATCGTATTTTAAATTAGACTAGTTATTGCTTATGAGTTTCGATGATATCAAAGAACATTACTTTCATAGTATCATAACTGCTACCATTACTAAAGTTAAGCAACAACATTTTTTGTGTTTCTTATTCCTGTCCTCTTGAAATGACAATACTTTGAACAGTGGGGGGTAAACTTAAAGTAAAACCCAATTTAAATGGCTAGATGTTATTTTAATTTTATAACATTATTATAACATGAGATATCACTTGTATATAAATATTTAAAGAGATCAGAGATTTGAGAGGGTGACTAAGAATCTGAAGGTTGCAAGAGTGTTTACAACCTTAGTGGAGGAGATGAAAGCCATAGGACTTGTTGGTGCCGATAAATTGCAATGCACAGATGTGATGGTTCCTATGGCTCACAAAGATAGGAGCCCACTCCTCTTTATGGGTGGTGGCATGGGAGCTGGGAAAAGCAGTGTGCATATTGTATAAGAAAATTGGGATAAGAAACCCTAAAGCACTTTTGTCAAACAGCAAAATTCAATTAATAATATTATATACTTTGTATATCTTTTGGGTACATAATCACTACATATGTACGTACCATTTTCTGCATGTATATGAAATTCTTGTGCTCCTTGCCGGGGATGGAGTTAGAGGGGCAACCGCCCCCTTAGATTTTCAAAATTTTCTATTATAAAATTACTACTTTCATACAGTTTTCATACTTTAATTATGACTAACAAGAAAATACAGCAAAAGGAAATAGGACATGAATAATGACTAAAATAAACAGTGAAAAATGTCACTCACTGTGCAGGTGCTTCCATACATGTAGTAGCCAACAGGTAGCATATTTCTCTCAGATTGGCAATTTGGCATACATCACTTAATTCTGGCTCATGACCACATCTCTGATCATATAAATTTCAAAGATCTGGATATTATAAAAAGAAAACTTGATTAAACCACAACAAGTTTCCCTTTCAAATACCAAATTGTATTCTGCACACGGTAATATTATACTCCGTATAAAGAATAACATGTATGTAAAAATCAAAAGCTTTAATAAAAATCTAAAATAGTGGACCTGAGGATAAAACTTTAATTATTTTCCCAATAAAAACCACCAAGATCGGTGGGGTAAATGCCGGAATAGCAAAAAGAAATCTAAACAAAAAGACAAGAGGCAATTATAAACGAAGAGTGGGAATAGCCTCCAAGTCCATCTGAATCAGCGCCTGAATTTTTTATTTTGTAATAACAAAATGATCATCAAAGCCTCCATTTTTAATATAACGATTTCAGTCATTCTCTGCTAAATCGAATAAGTCAATATTGTTAACATCAAATTCTTCTGCCTCATTAGCATCAAAACGTATATTGCATAACCACAATGTGATTATGTGAAAGCAAAATTAATGGATAAGTCATCAATCTTAACCACCCTTGTTGAGACCACCAGTCCACAAATATATATAGAGAAAAGGAAAATAAATTGAGAATCTGATGCCAACTTGCTTCTTGGCATACCTTATGGCTAACTTCACTCTCCATAAGGTCTCATTTTTTCTCTTCAATTCCCTCTGCAAGAAATTCAATGGAAAGTTTATGCAAGCTGGCACATATAATAAATATTATTTTCTTAATCCATTAGGAACATACCTTCACGAGAGTGTCAAGAATGGACTTTGCTTGTTGAATATGAAGGCCCCTACAAGAAAGCTGTTTACCAAGTCACGGTTGAACAAAAGAAAAAAATATTGGAGTGGCTTGTTCAGTTGCGATTCCCAGATGGATACACATCCAACTTCCAGAGAATTGTTGACTTAGAAAAGTTGTCAACGAAAAATATGAAGAGTCATGATTGTCACGTAATCATGCAGCGTTTACTCTCAGTTGCTCTGAAGGAAAATCTTCCGGCTAATGTATGGGCGTGTATTGCTGATGTTTCGCAAATTTTTCAGTTAATTTGTTCGCCTGTACTAAACAAAAAAGCGCTTGAGGACCTTCACCGCAACCTTCCCACTATAATGTGTAATCTTGAAAAAGTGTTTCCTCCATCTTTTTTTGATGGAATGGAGCATCTACTTATCCATCTTCCATGGGAAGCTAGAAAAGGAGGTCCACCATTTTATAGATGGATGTACAGCTTTGAGAGGTAAATATTTTAACATTTTTCACCATATTTTATACATATATTTTAATGAGATAATTACATTTGTTCAATGTTGTTAGGTTTTTGCGGGAACTGAAAAAAAAAGTGACAAATAAAGCTCACGTCGGAGCTCGTGTTGAAAATGTTATCAAAAACATTCTTCTCAATATGCATTACATCCAAATTGTGTCTAATGAGAAGATCTTTCCAGTATGGTAATTCCCAAAAAATACTTTTTTTGGTCCATTTATGATCAGTCAAATATCCATCCGGATACTCAAGAGGTTCATCTATGGCAGAAGGAATGTGCTGAACACGATGATAAATTTGATATCCAGTCAACCTCGGAGGCGGAGGATCACGCTCAATGCGCCCCTTGAGAAATGACTTTTTATCCTTTCGATATGGATGATTTTGAGGGAGAAACCTGCGATGACAATCAAAATAAGATGGTTTGCGGCTATTTTTGAGCCAAAATGCATTTGACTTCTCCATACAAACAGGACACCCCATAAGGCCTGCGGTACTCCAACCGGATAACATTCCATATGCTGGGAAATCACTAATTGTCCATAAAACCGCAGCTCTCAAATTAAATATCTGCTATGTCGTAACATCATATGTAGGAACACCCACATCCCATAGTTGTTTCAGCTCTTCAATCAATGGTTGTAGATACACATCAATTCGTTTCTTTGGATTACCTGGTCCCGGACACATTAACGACAAAAACATAAAATGCTGTTTCATACACATGTCTGGAGGCAGATTATACGGTGTAATGATAATTGGCCAACATGAGAACTGTCCGCCAAATTGACCATATGGGGCAAAACCATCAGCACACAACCCAGGACGAACGTTGCGTGGTTCGAAAGCGAATTCAGGATAACATCGGTCCAAATGCTTCCATGCATCTGAATCAGATGGGTGACACATTAATGCTTCTTCTGTGTCATGCTCTACATGCCACGTCATGTATTTAGCGGTAGCACTTGACGCATACAATCTTTGTAAACGTGGTGCTAAAGGCAAATATATCAATTTGGATGCTGCAGATCTTTTTCGTGGTTTGTGGCTCATTTCTGAGATAGGCTTGTACCTATCCTCTTCTTTCTATTTTGAAAGAGATGTGATTACGAGGCGAAAAAGACCTGCTAGAAATGATGCCATTGATGAGGGAATGTATGAGCAGGTGGTATCAATTTTCAACTATCCCGGCAAAGGTTATGGTAGACGAACACATCGTCATGTTGTCGGAGATGAGTTCCGAATTGCACACACCTACATTTTGGTGAACTGTCCTGAAGTTACCCCGTATTACAAGTGCGTTAACTTATTATAAACAATGTCTTTATTATTCATCAAGTATTTACTAATATATACTATCGTATATATAATCTACAATGCAGTGACTTCAGAGAAAATCTTTCCAGTTCCGGTTACGGGAATGAGGACATTGATCGTTTCATCGACACTGACTTTGCAAGATCCAACTCAAGAGGAGATAGATCAGCGGATTCGGGAGGAGGTTGAAGCCCGCTTCGCACAGCACCAAAAGGAAGTTCAAGCTCAAATGGCTGCTCAAATAGCCGCTCAAATGGCCAGTATGTCTGGAGCCTTTATGGCATTTATGGAGCAAGTACGCAGCACTAACCCGTCTATCCCATTGCCTGACTTTTCTAGCTTTCGTACTCCGACACCGGTGCCGATGAACGGACTGACTGGTGATTCCAATGAAGTCGGGATGGACGAGCTTTTCAATGAGTTGGGGGGCAATGGTGTTGTGGAAGCTAGGTTGTAATTTTCTGTTTTTAAAGCTTTTTGGACTTATCTAATGTTTTTTGGATATCCCTTATGAGGAACCTGGACAATGTGGGGGTTTTGTGGTTAATTTGTTCAATCTGGACAATCTGGACAAATTAACAATGCCACTTTTATTAGTTATGCTTGAATGACATGTTTTGTGGTTATGTGTATTAGTTATGCTTGAATGAAATGTTTTGTGGTTGTTTTGTTCATGGTATTACTTTCTTTTAATTCAGAAATTGCTTGGGTAAAAAAACATCTACTTATAGGTGTACAATCTTACTGTACACCTATACGGTATTTGTTTTTTTAATGGTTTTCATTTGGCTCGGATTTATATCCCAGACACAATTCAAATTTGAAATTTTGAATATTCCCTGCCAAAATTTTGATTCCAAAACTTCACCTGGGTTCTGTTGTGACGGCATAATCCGAGCCAAGTTGGCACGGAATGAATCTGAGACAAACACATCAGATTATATTGACAAATTGGTCCTGTAAAAGCAGAGCCAAAGACCGTGCCAAAGTTGGAACGGATTAAAAATTCCGTGCCAATACATTTGGCTCGAGCTGGGTGGCTGGGAAAATTGTTCCGAGCCAAAACCGAGCCAAACCCGTTAGTCTGGGAATATTCTGAAGGATTCCGTGCCAAATTCCTTGCCTATAGCGAATTTTTTTTGTAGTGACAAGATAAGGCCTAAAGTTGAGATTCCAATAATATTGTTAAGAAATTAGACCTATTGGAAGGACTATATATATATATATATATATATATATATATATATATATATATATATATATATATATATATAAAATGGAACTGAATTGATTGTTATAAGACTTGACAATCATGTTATCAAAACAAGAATCATGACTTAAAACAACATTGGAGATGAGATTTTCATTCATCTCAGCATGCCCCTTCTCAATATAATTGTCATGGTCTTTTAAATATTGGCTAAAAGGTCAAATAAGTACATGAACTAACTTAAAGTGTTCAATTAGCCCCTTATATAGGAGGTTCTGTCCGGCTGTCGTCAATTGGGGCGGTTCCTGGTGGAATTTTTTGATGATTTTTTTTTAGCATCTTCTCATTAAGTCTAGTTTACCCATATCAAATTTCAGCTAAAAATTAAATCGGGAAGGCAGTCAAATGATTTTCCGAAATGTACTGCGCTGTTTAACTGCGGAGTTATCTTCAAAAAATCATTTGACTGTCTTCCCGGTTGAATTTTTAGCTGAAATTTGGTATAAGTAAACTAGACTAAATGAAGAAGATGCTCAAAATATTTCATCAAAAAATTCCATCGGGAACCGCCCCAATTGGCGACGGCCGGGCAGAACCTCCTACTATATAAGGGGCTAATTGAACACTTTAAGTTAGTTCATGTACTTATTTGACCCTTTAGCCTTAAATATTTGACAAGACAAATTCTTATAGTTGTCTTCTTTGTTGTGAGTCTTGTGACAATGAACAATTTACTAGGCAGTGATCGTAGAAAGTTCAGATCAAACATGGATTGAAGATTTACATGATAAGGATGAGAAATCATTAGAAATTACGACAAATGTTGTATTATTGGGATGTTTGTATCTGCTTTTTAAAAATGCTTCTGCTCTTGAAGCTAACAGAAACAAATTCTGGAATGTTTGGGTGGAAGAGAAAAAGTATCTTTGAGT